CTGATGATGCTGATGTTGAGCCTCCTGCTCCTCGCGAGAGCGGCGAGGTCACCGCGGCGCCAGGCTTACTTACAAACTTGCGGCGCGGCGCGTGCCGAGGCCGTGGGGGGCCGACGGCTCGACCGCGCTGCCAGCCTTCCAGGCCGGAGCTCCCGGGGGCGGCCAAGAGGGGGGTGTCCAAGAGGCCCCTTCCTCCTGCTTCTCCTCCTCCTCCTCCTCCTCCTCCTCCTCCTCCTCCTCCTCCTCCTCCTCCTCCTCCTCAGAGTTGGCGGCCTAGAGATTGGCATCAACACCAACACAGGGGGTTGCCTCCGCAGGGGGGAGATGATCCTAGATTTCGGTGTGGGTGGTAATAGTTTGGCCACCTTGGACGCCAGAATATGACCACCACCGCCGAGATCGGGATCGTCTTCCCTCGGTGGAGGCACACCGCCGATCTTGGTGTTGGTGTCAACTTCTGGGCCTGCGAAAAAGGGGGGTGTCCAAGAGGGGGGGGTGCAGATCATGACCGGCGGCACGTGCGCGGCCCAGCGGGGGGGCCTGGGACGTAATGAAATAAGCAGAGGCGCCATGAGAGCTGGGGAGATATCATGGCCCACGCCGTGATATCCACCCCCCCTAGTCATCACCCCCCTCTTTTCCGCCCCTGAAGACTTCCAGGCCGGAGCTCCCGGGGACGGGTGACGTCGGCCGTGGATGGGGAGGAGCAGGGCATGAGGTCTGGTCGGGCATGTCCCCTTGCAGGCCGAGTTTCGACGGAAAACTAAAACGTACTCCAAAAAGACTCCGACGTGGTCAAAAAAGTACTCGAAGCATCCTCTCCAGGGCTATTGTTGGACTACTTTCGGACATTCCTCCTGTAGAGGGACAGGCCCGACTTAAACGTGAGGTGACGGAGACGCCACGAGCACGAAGGCGAACGGGTGATGAGCAGCAGCCGCACAGGCGGGACGAGAGGGGAGGAGAGGGGAGGAGGACGACGGGCACGAAGAGGGGGGGCAGGACGACCGGGAGGACGAGCGGAGGAGGGGGATGGGAGGCGGGAGAAGCAAGAGGAGCAGCAGCAGGAGCAGCGGATGGGGCTGGAGTTATGTTGCTCCCATCGTATTTACGAAAGAGTGTCGAAACAGTGTCGGACGAATGTCGCCCAGGGCCCGACACGTGAAAACCCTTGAGTTTCGGAACTTTCTGGGGGCTGGAAATTCTTTCTGGTGGTCACGGCTAAAGTAGGCTGGAAAATCCAAAGGCTGGAGGAGCAGAAGGGCGCAGGAGGGGCAGGGAGGGGGAAAGGGGGAGGGGCAGCAGGGGATCCGGAGGAGCAATTAGGAGGGAGAGGGGGAGGAGGGCAGGGCGCAGAGAGAGCGAGGGAGCCCCCTCCCCCTCCAGGAACTCCAGCGCGGACTCACGATTGGGTCGGTCCTGTCCTCCTAGAGGCTGATTTTGGGCAAAAAATAAAAATAGTCAAAAGATATTTCAAAAATACTCAAAACATGCTAGAATAATCGTCCCCTGACTATTTTTTGCCTATTTCAGAATATTCCTCCTGTAGGGGGACAGGCACGACTTCAACTTACGAGTCTGCCGTGATGTGGCTTTGTCCCGCTTCGGGAGGCGGGGAGGAGGGGGAGAACGACGAGGGTCAGGAGGGCGCTCCGATCCAGCAGGGGAGGCAAAACCCGGCGGGCGCACGCCCCAGTGGCCGACTGCCGGCTGGGAAAACGCGGGGCGGCGCCACGCACGGCAACCTCTACCCACGCGACGCGTGGGTCGGCAGAGCGAGGGCTGCGGCACAGGGGCCCTCGGGGGCCCCTCGAGGGGCCCTGTAGGGCCCCAAGAGGGGGCCTTTGGGGCCCGAAAAAAAGCACACTTCTCCCCCCCCCCTCCCCTTCCCAGACCGACGTTGCTCCCATCGTACGTAAGGACCACGGCCCAGAAATAGTGCCGAGCACCCCGAAAGGTATCGAAACGGTGTCGAACGAGTTTCGCCTCCCGGGGCCCGACACGTGAAGACCCTCCAGTTTCGGTATATTTTCGTGTTGCTCGACATTCTCTGGTGATCAAGGCTGAAGCAGGTTCGAACATCATGATCCCAGACATCCAATTGGGTGTCCCAAAACCGTGTGGTGACAGACCCGGCGGTGACCTCGAAATCCGCAAAGACCTCACCGCACGGTCCGTCACCACACGGTTTTGGGACCCTGGAGGCTCCAGTCGCCCGAGACATCCTCGGAGAACGACCCAAGTCCCAAAACTGTGCCGTGACCCCGAATCCCCACCGACTCACCACACGGTGTGGTCACCACCCCGTTCGGGAGCCCCCGATCCAACGCCATGAGCTCCTCCAGACGGGGCCCCCGGAGGTCTGGCCCCCGGGGGACCTCCTCCCCGGCGCCAGCCCCTCACCTCCTCCTCCTCCTCCTCCTCCTCCTCCTCCTCCTCCTCCTCCTCCTCCTCCTCCTCCTCCTCCTCCTCTCCTCCTCCTCCTCCTCCTCCTCCTCCTCCTCCTCCTCCTCCTCCTCCTCCTCCTCCTCCTCCTCCTCCTCCTCCTCCTCCTCCTCCTCCTCCTCCTCCTCCTCCTCCTCCTCCTCCTCCTCCTCCCTCTCCTCCTCCTCCCTCCTCCTCCTCCTCCTCCTCCTCCTCCTCCTCCCCGCGCCCTGGCCCTTCGGACGGCCCCCGGGGGGGCCCCTCGCGAGGCCCCCCCCGCGAGGCCGAAAGCCACGGCCAGCCGCTGCCTCGGGCCTCTCGAGAGGTTCGAGGCCTACGCCGCGCGCCCTCCGGGCTCGGCCCCGCCCCCGAGCCGCTGGCCCCCCAGATTATGTCGGGCGTGCCCCCCTACAGGGGGATTTTCGACGAAAAATATAAAAAAATACCCCCAAAATACCCCAAAAAGGTTTAAAAAAATACCCCCAAAATAGTCCCCAGACTGTTTGGGGACTATGATTTGACTATGTGTTGCGGTGTTTCTTATTTTTCGTCGAGGATCCCCCTCTAGGGGGACAGGCCCGACGTAACCCCAGGAGCGCAGGACGCGCCGGCGCGCCCACGAGGGCCGCGGGGGGGGGGGGGGGGCGGCGAGAGGGGGCGGGCCTGCTCCGCAGGCTCGGGGTGACGATCGAACAACACGCACCCATACCCATAGGGGGGGCAGAGGAGGCCATGGGCGCGTGTTGTCGGATGGGGGTCCCCGCTCGAACGGGAGCTCCCCCCAGGGTCCGACGACTCGCCCCCATACCCATGGCCAGTCCCCCTCCCTTCCGACCCTCCTGTGGGTATGAGCGTGAGCTGCTCCCTCGTCGCGGGAGGCCGGGGGGGGCCCTTCCGAGGAGCTCCCTCGGAGCCTCCCCAGCGGTCGTGCGCGCTGGTTTCCCTGTCCCGCGGACCGCGGTCGCCACCCGCGGGGGGGGAGGGCGGGGTCTGGGCGGGAGGGTAGCGGCAAGTGACGGCGGCCGCGGCGTGCGCCCGCCAGGGTGCGTGCGCGCCACGGGCGCATCAAGCCCCTGTGTGCACCACAGCATGTACAGTCGGGGCGTTGACCCAAGGAACCCTAAATAAGGAACGAGGCCCCTTTTTTCCATAAGTTAACCTTCGATTTCCGATCGAAAGCATAAGGAAAGCCCGAGGCAAGCTGTGAAACACTTAAGGAACGCGGAGCCCCTCCCCAATGAAAAGGGTTCCTTCTTCAGGGCCCCGACTGTACGATCGTTGACAGTCGGGGCGTTGACCTAAGAAACCCTAAATAAGAAACGAGACCCCTTTTTTCCCCTAAGTAAAACTTCTATTTCCAATGGAAAACCCAAGGAAAACTGTGAAACGATCAAGGAACACTGAGCCCCTCCCCAACGACAAAGGTTCCTTCTTCAGCGCCCCGACTGTAGAGGGGTGCCAGGCCGCCCCCCCCCAGTACGATCGTTAGCATTACCCAGGGTGGGGAAGGCCTGGACTCCACCCCGGGGAGTTGCCCTGGGGAGGAGGACCAAAAACGCTCACATGACGTTGCCCAAGAACTGCAGTACCGCCAAAAGTCACCACCAGAGCCATGGACTCCATCCTGCTGAAACATGTTTCGAAACGGATCGATACGTGAGGGTCCAGGGGCCCAAAGTCGGGGGAACACACCCGTTGTGAACAACTTGCACAGCCTGGATCTGAGCCTTCTCCGATGACGCAAAAAAACTTCTGAGGGCGCGAGGGCTTCTGAAAAGCCCCGCCGCCTTCTGAGAAGGCCCGCTTCCTCTCACGTTCCTCCCCGGGCACACCGCTAAGCGCACGAGCGGCGTTCGCACAGGGTGGCTCAGCTGTCGTAGGTCCGCTTCCCAAGGTAACGGCGCGAGAACATGGAGCCGAGCACCTTCGGGACGCTGGCGGACATACCATATGCTGGTGTTGGAAGCGTACGTCCTACACGAACAGATCTACATAGAAAAAGAACAACAACAAAAACATGAACATACACTTTTGGCGCTCCGCGCGGATTTCTTGGATCCGCGCTGGACCCCCCTCCCTGGCGCGCGAAGCGCGCCAGGGGCGGCGCCAGAAGCGCCGCCCAGGGGGGGGGGGGGGGGGGGGGGCCAGCGCGATCCGAGAAGACCGCGCGAAGCGCCAAAAGTTTATGCCTATATGTTATTGGTTCTTCTTCGAGTGCAGCAATCTTGTGGCATATGGTTTCCCGAGCGGTGTGGCCAGAAAGTGCCCGCCACGCAGCTTACCGAAGGGGCCCTGGGACACACAGTCAGATACACACAGATAAAGGGGCCCTGGGAGTCGTCGATTCATTGTGCCTGTGCGTGTTCTTGTTTCCTCCCGACTTACACCGGAAGAGACCTCCGAGCGCGCGTGTCGCCGGGGCGTGGCCTCTACACACCGTCTGGTCAGCGCGGGGGGGCCGCACGGCCCTTCGTCGTCCCCGGGTGCGCGGGGCCGAGGTGGGGATCTCCGTGGGGTGGGGACTCTGCTCGTTGCGCTGCTGGTAGTTTGTTTGTCTGTCGTCGACCCACTCCGCGAGCCACCCCGCGACCCACCCCGCGACCCAGCCGCGACCCCCTCTTCCGCCTCCCCCCCTCCCCCCTCCCCCTCCCTCCCTCCCCTCCCATCCCCCTCCTCTACCCCCTCCCCCTCCTCCTCCTCCTCCTCCTCCATCTCTCCTCTCCTCCTCCTCCGCCTCCTCCTCCGCCTCCGCCTCCGCCTCCGCCTCCACCTCCCACGACCCACCCGCGACCTGCCCACATCAGTTTAACGAAAAAATCGGCGCCTGCGGCGGGCTCGTTGTATAATTTGTGAAACTCTGGCGCCTGCGGCGGGCTTCTCCAGAGTCTCGCAGACTGCCGACGTCCCTACCACACCCTCACTCTTATCCGCATCTGCGGGGTGCTATGGTATAAGCGTATGAGCATGTTTGGGTGGTGCCGTACCTTCTCCATCTTGGCGTCCTCCTTCGATTGCCTGATCCTCGTCGGCAGGGCTTCGGGGCTGCGCACTGACAGTTCAAGTCTAGAGGATGGGGTCGGAGTAGATGGGTCGGAGGATCGCGCCGCATCGCCGATGCATCGGCGATGTATCCGCGATGCATCGGCGATGCACCGGCGATGCACCCGCGACGCCGGCGATGCATCGGCGGCGTCGGCGTGGGGAAAATCGGAATCCGCATCGGCGCATGGCCGATGCATCGGCGATGCGGCGCCGGCCGCCAACCCCATCTACCAAGGGCTCCTAAGTTCGCGCTTCGCGCTGCGCGAAGCGCGAAGCGCGAATAACTTCGCGCTCTCGCGCCGCCCCCCAAGGGGGAGAAGAGGAGGACGAGGAGGAGGGGGAGGAGGAAGGAGGACGGCGAAGCGCGAAGCGCGAATAACTTCGCGCCCTCCTGGGAGCCCTTGCTACTCGGACCCCATCTGGGAGGCCTAGAAAGTCTCAGAGCTGCGGGCACCCACGGGGTAGCCCAAGGCGCACTCCAGCACCCCAGGCCTGGTGCGCGGAGCGCCCCGCGTGGGCCGCTGGGGGCGGGGAGGAGGAGGAGGAGGAGGAGGAGGAGGAGGAGGAGGAGGAGGAGGAGGGAGAGGAGGAGGAGGAGGAGGAGGGTGCGGGAGGAGGGAGAGAAGGAAAAGGAGGGGGAGTAGGAGGAGGAGGAGGAGAAGGAGCAGGAGGAGGAGGAGGAGCAGGAGGAGGTGCTGAGGCCACATCCTAAAATACCCTGGGGTGCCTGCATGTTGAGGCCATGCCTGGAGCTACCTCTGGGCTGGGGGCGGTCCGGGGGTCTGAACTGGTCGAGACCTCAAGGAATCGACGAGGGGGGGTGGAAAGACACGCACAGAGGAAAAGAAACACTGCGGAAAAAAACACAACCAGTGTTTGTGGAAAAAGTGCATTAAAAACAGGTATGTGTGTGGTTTTGTCCATTGTTTTGCTTTCACACTATGTTTTCTCACAGATGAGGCCACATCTGGTCAAAATCGCTCCCCGGACCCCCAGGGCGCGTCTGGTGCAGTTTTCCACACCGGATCCATTTTTCACGGTCCCAGGGGCTCGAAAGCGAGCCCAGGAGGCCGAAAAAGGTATATATTGTGTATTTATAAATACATATAAACCAAAAAAAAACTCCCGAGCACAGAACCTCGAACATGCCCTCCCCCTCCTGCTGGCCGGAACCAGGGCTGGACCACCCAAGACCCGCAGACGGCTCCCAACCCCTGAGGGTGAGGGGCAACGACAGGGGGTGACTGGCATAGGCGGGGAATCATCGACCTGGAATCGGCGATACATCGCCGATAGATCGGCAATAGGCCCCCGATGGTGAATCCGAACGTTCCTGGGCGGGTGGGTTGGGGCTATGGGGCCCCTATCAGCGATCAATGGGCGATTGGGGGTCGATGCATCCACCCCTATGCCTATCCCACCCTATCGCTGCCCCTGATCAAGCGCATCTGGTTTCTTGATGCGCGTCCCTAATGCGCGCAGGAGGAGGAGGAGGAGGAGGAGGAGGAGGAGGAGGAGGAAAAGGAGGATAAAGGAGGAGGAGCAGGAGGAGGAGGAGGAGAAGGAGCAGGAGCAGGAGCAGGAAGTAGAGGAGGAGGAGGAGAAGGAGGAGGAGGAGGAGGAGCAGGAGGAGGAGGAGCAGGGATGAGGAGGTGCAGGAAGTAGAGGTGGAGGAGGAGCGAGGAGGAGGAGGGAGGAGGAGGAGGAGGAGGAGGAGGGAGGAGGAAGAACGAGGAGAAAAGGAGGAGGTGGAGGAGGAAGGAGAGGAGCAGGATGGAGAAGGAGCAGGCTGCAGGAGCAGGAGCAGAAGTTAGAGGTGGAGTGTGAGGTGGAGAGGAGGAGGTGGCAGGGAGCAGGAGGAGGATGAGCTGGAGGTAGAGGAGGAGGAGGAGGAGGAGGAGGAGGAGGAGGAGGAGGAGGAGGAGGGGGGGGAGGAGGAGGAGCAGGAAGTACAGGAGGAGGAGGAGGAGGAGGAGGAGGAGGAGCAGGAAGTTGAGGAGGAGGAGGAGGAGGAGGTGGTCTGTGCGCAACGCCGACGGCGTGCCGGTCCTCCGCTCCACCTGGCTCGTGGTCGCCAGCGCCCCGGGGAGCGCGAGCCCCGCCACCAGCGCCAAGGGCAGCAGCGGCAGCAGCCCCTCGCGGGCAGCCCGCTCCTCGGCCGCCCGCCGCGCTCGCTCGCGCTCCTCCGCGTCTGCGCGGGCGCCGACGGGGGCGCCCCGGGGCGCGAGGGTGCTCAAGAGCAGGGCAGGGAGCAGCGGCACAAGGGCAAAAACTCGGCGGGCCACGCGGGTGCCTCGGATCGGCGCTGGACCCCCCTGGCGGCGCCTCCGGCGCCGCCCCTGGCGCGCTCCGCGCGCCAGGGGGGGGGGGGGGGCGCCAGCGCCGACCCGAGAAATCCGCGCGGACCTCCGAGTCTTCATGTTTATGTCATTGCCCGTTTCCCTGAAGAGGCTTTCCAATGCGGGTGGAAGGAAGATCGGCACTAGGCAGGTGCGTGTCGTGACGACTTCGGCATTGGCCTTTTTGACGCCGCGTGGATCGTTCCACCTTGACCGATCGGCGACTTCCCGATCACCGGATCGTTCTATCATGGGCCGACTCTGGGCCACCGGCGGCGTTCCACCGGGAACGCCCGCGGCTGGGTGGCCGCCGCGACGACACCACAAGCACCTACCGCAGACATGAGTAGACGGTCGGACGTCCACGTCGGACCAGGAGGAGGAGGAGGAGGAGGAGGAGGAGTGCATCCTCTGGCTGGGCCTGGTGAGACTGAAGGTGGTGGAGGAGGAGGAGGAGGAGGAGGAGGTGGTGGAGGAGGAGGAGGAGGAGGAGGAGGAGGAGGAGGAGGAGGAGGAGGAGGAGGAGGAGGAGCAGCAGGAGGAGCAGGAGGAGGAGGAGCAGCAGCAGGAGGAGCAGGAGGAGGAGGAAGACGCCCAGAGGGGCACACCAGGACTGCGTGCCTCTGCTGGGGGCGCACGTCTGACCCGAACGTGTGGCACAACGCCTGGTGGCCAGAGAGCGCCCGCCACGGAGCCCTATACTGCTAGAGTTCCGAGCATGCGCACCGCCCCTGCGTGACCGACGCACGCATATACAGTCGGACGTCCGCGTGGACATCCTGGATCGGCGCTGGAGGGGGGCGCGGGGATCTTCGAGTCTCGGTCTCGGGATGTTCTTCTTCTCGCTTGCAGTATCATTGCTGGTATGCGTCTTCTTCGTCTCCAACCTCTTCTTGTCATTCTTATTAGTCTTGTTATTCCCCTGGTGATCCCTCTTATGTGCATTGTGTGCCTGATGAGCATTTCACAGTAATCACATTAATGCTGGTACTAATCTCTTGTGCTAGTATTGATCATATGGCCGTTGCCCTTACTAGTAGCATTACGATTACAATACGTATTTACATTTGTAAAATTGGCAAACTTCTTACGATCGAGAATATCATTCCCAATCCTCCTGCGGTGGGCTCTCGCTTTGATTCGAGCACTGCGGTCGCAGACCTTCCTTCCTTCCCGCCTCGTTCCTCCTCTCCTCTTCCCTCCTGCCTCTTACCTTTTCGCGGATCGTCGCCAAATGCGGGCCCCTCCTCCTCCTTCCCACCCTCTTGCGTTGGGTACTCGTTCTGAATAAAACACGGCTCGCGCGTGCGATCTGCGAAACTGCTGCCATTTTCGAGGGCTGCAGGGGGGGCCCAGCGGAGTGACGTGCTACACAAGCTCAGATTAAGCCTCGCCATCCGTGTGGGGCTACGATCTGCGGAACTGTCGCCACTTTCGAAGGCTGCTGAGGGTCCAGCGGAACGACGTGCTACGCAGACTCAGACTAAACCTCGCCATCACTGTGGGGCTGCGATCTGCGGAATTGTCACCAATGTCGACGAACGCTTCTGGGGGATCCACGGAGTGACGTGCTACGCAGACTCAGACTAAACCTAAAGCTCGCCATCCCTGTGGGGCTACGATCTGCGAAATTGTCGCCAGGTTCGAGGGTTGCTTGGGGGTCCACCCGGGCGTTGTCGCGGGCCGACAGTGAACCTGACAACACGCCTTCCAGTGCTTAACTCCAACACCGAAAAATACAGAAAAACAAGGAAACTGGCGGGCGAACCAGGCCCCGCTCGCTTTTAGCACAAATTATAAGCAGATTTAATCCGCCGGCCCCCTTGCGGGGCCATCAGGCTGTGAGGCTTAAGCTTGCTGCTCCCTGCACAAGTTCCAGTTTCCAGTTTCCATTGTTACAATACTGTTTTCTGCTTCCTACTGAAAAAATTGTTACTGTCCGCGCGAGGAGGGGGAGCCGAAAACCACCCTGGTTAGCACCCCCCGGGAAAGTTAACACCCCTCACGCAGATCGGCGGGATCAGGGTCCAAAAACACAAGGGATTTGCCACATGTCTGAAATTCGGTGGCACCCCTCACGCAGATCGGCGGGGTCAGGGTCCAAAAACATAAAGGATTTGCCACATTTCTGAATTTCGATGGCACCACTCACGCAGATCGGCGGGGTCAGGATCCAAAATAACAAGGGATTTGCCACATTTCTGGAATCCGGTGGCACCCCTCACGCAGATCGGGGGGGTCAGGGTCCAAAAACAATACGGATTTGCTGGAATTGTAAAATTCGGTGGCACCCCTCACGCAGATCGGCGGGGTCAGGGTCCAAAATCACAAGAGATTTGTCACATGTTTAAATTCGGTGGCACCCCTCACGCAGATCGGCGGGGTCAGGGTCCAAAAACACATAGGATTCGAAACATTTCTGAAATTTCCTGCACCCCTCATGCAGATCGGCGGGGTCAGGGTCCAAAAACACAAAGGATTTACCACATGTCTGAAATTCGGTGGCACCCCTCACGCAGATCGGCGGGGTCAGGGTCCACAAACACATGGGATTTTCCGCATTTTTGAAATGCGGTGGCACCCCTCACGCAGATCGGCGGGGTCAGAGTCCAAAAACACAAAGAATTTGCCACATTTCTGAAATCCGGTGGCACCCCTCAAACAAATCGGCGGGGCCAGGGTCCAAAAACACATAGGATTCGAAACATGTCTCAAATCATGTGGCACCCCCCATGCAGATCCGTAGGGTCAGGGTCCGAAAGCAGAAGGGGATTTGCCACATGTCTGAAATCCGGCGGCACCCCTCACGCAGATCGGCAGGGTCAGGGTCGAAAAACAAATTGGTCCCGGCACTGCTTCACGGCAGAGCCAGAGCCTCATGACTTCGCCCTTCCGTGGCCCATTCTCCGAGAGAGGGGGGGCCGGCGGCAGGGGGCGAAGCCCTCACGGATAAGTTTGCCGAGCGCCGCGGCAACACGGCGCAGGCAGCGCTGCATGTTTAGCTGATCACAGAAAAAAAAAAAAAAAAAAAAAAAAAAAAAAAAAAAAAAAAAAAAAAAAAAAAAAAAAAAAAAAAAAAAAAAAAAAAAAAAAAAAAAACTCGGTCTCTTGCGGTCTCTTTCGTAATCGTCCTCTGCCCCCTGCCACATTGCCTCTACTGCTGCCTCGCTGACGGCTCGGCCCCCCCCACGCGTCGTTTTCCCGCCCTTCGTTCCCACCCTCTTGCGCTGGGCACCCGTCTTGAACAGAGCACTGCTCGCGCGTGCTATCTGCGGAACGATCGCCACTCTCGAAAGTTGCTGGGGGGTCGTGCTACGCAGGCTCAGAATAGACCTCGCCATCCCCGAGGGTCTTCGCTCTGCGAAAGGGTCGCCACTTTCGAAGGCTTCTGGGGGTCCAGCGGAATGACGTGCTACGCTGACTCAGACTAGACCTCGCCATCCCTGCGGGGTTGCGAAGTGCGGAACTGTCGCCATTTTCGAAGGCAGCTGGGGTCTAGCGGAGTGACGTGCTACGCAGACTCAGATTAAACCTCGCCCTCCCTGTGGGACTACGATATGCGAAACTGTCGTCAGGATCGTGCTTTGGGGGGGTCCAGCGGAGTGACGTGCTACGCAGACTCAGATTAGACCTCGCCATCCCTGTGGGGCTGCGGTATGCGAAGTTGTCGCCACGTTCGAAGGTTGCTTGGGGGTCCACCTGGGCGCTGTCGCGGGCCGACCTTAGACCAAGCGGGACGTCTTCTAGCGTTTAGCTCCCGCACCGACTAATGCAGGAAGGAAGCAAGGAAGCTGGCGGACGAGCTAGACCTCGCCCGCTTCTTGCACGAACTACAAGCAAGTTCCATCATTTTGCGGAGCGCCGCGGCGACATGGCGCAGGCAACGCTGCATCTTTAGCGTACTACCGACAAAAGCAACACTCGTCGGTCTCCTCCCGTCACTTTCGTAGTCGTCCTCTGCCCCCTGCCACTTTCCTTCTGCTGCTGCTGCGCTGACGGGTCGGCCCCCATCTTGCCTTTCGTTCCCGCCCCCATGTCCTCCTCAAGCCTGGGCCTTCGTTCCTCGTCCTTCTGCTGGTGCCCTGTGAATCGTGCCACGTGAGCGCATCCCGTGTAGCTTGCACAACAGATAACAGCGACTGCACTGTCATTGACCTGGCAGGTTTGGGCATACTCATCCTGACACTTGATGCAAGTTGGCTGGGTACGTCACAAGGTAAATATGATACGTATGCTGACAAGTGTTCGTCTGATAACTGATAGTGTTGATTGAACAAATGTTGCCCGTATCAGTGTGTGGGTGTGTCGTCTTACTAAAATGCTGTTTCGTCTTACTGGTATTGTCCGCATTAGAAATGCTGTTCCTAGCGCGTTTGGAATGGTACGATCAGTTGTACCAGCATTGGTGTGATCAGTATGGCGTTTCGTGTTACGCGTAGTGTTATACATATGGTCGCCCTTATCAGGGCTCTCGTTCGTATTGTGATTCCCCTTTGCCTCATTATGCGTGTTACTAGAATTCAACTTGAAGCCTCCCAGGGGCCCGTGCAGATCTGGCAGGCCACGGCCCGCTTCCAAGGCGCGCGCGGTCGAGGAGACGCCCCCCCCCCGGGCGGCCCCCACACGAGCGCACGGCCCCCAGCAGCAGTCCATCCAGCTCTTGGGTCTCTTGGAGGTCCTCGGGCTAGCACTTGGGCCTCCATCCAGCTCTTGTGTCTCCATCCAGCGCTTGGGTCTCTTAGAGGTCTCTCTTGGGTCCTTGGATGATTAGCACTGGACCCTTCGAGGGGGGACCCAAGTTGGGAGGGGAAAAAACATCAGGGATCCAGGCTCGTTTCCTGCACGCGTGTCGAACCACACCGCGCCGAGTCGTGACCCCGAATGCAGAGGCGGTGGCCTGAGCGAGGACACGTCTCCACTGTGCCATTAAGGCCAGGGCTTCTCCTCCTCCTCCTCCTCATCCTCCTCCTCCTCCTCGTCCTCCTCCTCCTCCTCCTCCTCCTCCTCCTCGAGCTTTGGAGGCCTGGGGGCTTGGAGCCGTCGGGGGGCCCGAGGTCGCCCCAGCACTGGCTCTGGCCAGCGGGAGGCGCGGGCAGGCTCGAGGCGCTGGCCTCGGAAGGCGCTTGATTGTTTTTTTCTCGGCCCCCGCGGGCCGTCCTCGGGGCCCACGGAGCCTGTGGGAAACAGGTCTGGGGTGAACAAAAACTGCCATAGAGGGACCCTCGGAGGGATCCGGGGACCAATTGTGAGCGGAATTGGCCTCCTCTCCCCCCTTTCTCGGCCTCCGGGCCGTCCTCGGGGCCCCGAGGCTGTGGGACACAGATCTGGGGCGAAGAGCTGCTATATAGCTGGACCCTCGGAGGGATCCGGGGACCGACTGTGAGCGGAATTGGCCTCCTCTCCCCCCCCCTGCTGACCGCCTTCTGGGGTCCACGGCAGCTCAGGACCCCCCAGCTGCCTCCCAGCTCCAAGTCGGGCCTTCCCCCCTTGGCAGGAGAGCCCAGGATCGAATCGGTAAATCGGATCGGCGATCGAAATGAATCGGATCGGCAGAAATCGGCAGCCGAGTCGAGAAAATCGAATCGGCAGAAGTCGGCAGGCCAGTGGGCCTCCGTCCGTGAAGAGATCGGAACCCAGATCGGAATCCCAGGCCGAAGTGCATCGGGAGGAGGAGGAGGAGGAGGAGGAGGAGGAGGAGGAGGAGGAGGAGGAGGAGGGGGAGGAGGCATCGAGATGAGCCCTACCTTGGAGGCCTGGGGGGGCGCCCCTGGCAACGCCCGGCCTTTGCTCAGCTGCAGCTGGAGGCCGACAGCCCCGGCGCCGAGCAGGATCAGGCCGTTGCGGAGGATGTCGCTTCTCTGGGAGCCCGCCTCTGGGGAAGCGAAAAATGCCTCCAGTCGGGGGGCGGCAAAGAGGGGGGCGTCCAAGAGGGGGGGGTGCAAATCATGGCCGGCGGCATGTGCGCGGCCCATGGGGGAGCCGGGGACGTATTGAAATAAGAAGAGGCGCCATGAAATCTGAGGAAAAATCATGGCCCACGCCATGATACCCACCCACCCCTAGTCATCACCCCCCTCTTTTCCGCCCCCGATTCAGTCGGACCTAGGCCAGCAGAACACGATCCAAGAACATGAGACCTCCGCCGGCCAAAACAAACAGCACATCCAGGGGTACCCTCCCCAAAGTGCACAAGAGCATCCAACAAACATGAAGAACTCTGGGCGACCTCGATCTAATCTTATACCTCGGTCCGACTGCATACTCCTGCTCTGCGGGCCGCTCCCCAGGTGCGACCTGACCAAGATTTCGGGGCGACTTCAGCCGTGGCGACGAGGAGACCTCCAGGAGGCCCGAAGAGAAAGGAGCAGGCCTTGACATGAACCTGAACTTCCCGCGGCCCGCGCTGACTTCTCGGGTCGACGCCGGACCCCGGAGCGCGCCACGGGCGGCGCCGGAGGCGCTGCCGGGGGGGGGGGGGGCAAGAGCCGATCTAAGACATCTGCGCGGACCGTCGAACGTTTCTGAAGGGAAACTGGGACACACAAATAAATACACACAAATAAAATGATTCCCCATATTTTCCTATATTTTCTGGGTTTTTGTCTTCCCCCCCACTTCCCATATTTTCCCAAATTTTCTGGGAATCGCAGATTAATTGTGTCTGTGTGTTTTTTTCCCTCCTGAGTTTCATGTGCATACAGCTTTCTGCCAATCGAAGCGAAGAGGCCCCGGGAGGACCCAAAAGGCAGATACGATAAACAAGAGAGCAGCGGCAGCGGCACGTGCCTCTGCTCTGACGCCTCCAAAAGTGGCCCAGGGAGGCACTGCTAAATAGACACACGAGTTCCAGGATTCCCAACATTCCACAAGCCCTCCTTGGCGTGAGTGGCTTAACAGGTTTCCCCTTCCATCTTCCTTTTCCCCCCTCGGGGAAAGGTTTCCCACTGGATCCTGTTAGTGAACACCCCCTCCCCAAGGCGGCAGGCAACCAACCAGGACCAGTGAAGGCCCCCCCTCCCCCACCACCCCTTTCAAAAATCAGTCCGACGAGAGACCCGACCATATGCAGCTGCAAGAACCGCGAGGGAGATGATACGAAGGAGGAGGGCACGCAAACCCCGAATAGCGCACGCGGTATACGGTCGGACCTAGGACAGAAGAACATCCCTCAAGAACTTGAGACCCTCCGCCAGCCCAACCACACAGAACATCCAAGGGTACCCTCCCCAGGATGCACAAGAGCATCCAACAAACACGAAGAACACTAGGGCACCCTCCCCGAACCGACCTCGATCTTATACCTTGGTCCGGCTGTACCCTCTGCTCTCATGGGCAGCGCGCCGCAAGAAGAACGAGGCGCGGGGCAGTGCAGGCAGCACTCTCGGGTGGGACGCCTGCGAAAATCTTCGGCGGAGCTCCCCCTAGGCCAGACACGAAGCGTGCGCAGGGTGTGCCGAACGAAATTACTCCCTCCTCCCTCTTCCCTCCTCCCTCCTCCCTCCTCCCTCCTCCCTCCTCCCTCCTCCCTCCTCCCTCCTCCCTCGGTGGAGCTTACTATGGGGATGCGAGACGTGTGATGGGTGTGCCGACATGGGTCGGTCGGACGCATGGGAACGTCGCCATTGGGGCCTCAGGTGGAGCTCCCTATAGGGCCACGAACCGTGCGAGGAGTGCGCCGAAATGGGTGCGGCAGACGCATGTGGCCGCGCCCGCTGCGGCCTGAGGTGGAGCTCCCTGTAGGGACAGGGAATCGTGTGAAGGGTGCGCCGAAATGGGTGGCACGGACGCATGGGAACGTCGCCACTAGAGCCTTGTGGAACTCCCTGTGGGGCCACGAACCGTGCGAAGAGTGTGCCAAAAATAGGTGGCGCGGACGCATGGGAACGTCGCCACTGGGGCCTTAGGTGGAGCTCCCTATGGGGCCACGAACCGTGCGAGGGGTGCGCCGAAATGAGTGGCGGGGACGCATCGGAACGTCGCCACTGGGGCCTCAGGTGGAACTATGGGGCCACGAACCGTGCGAGGGGTGCGCCGAAATGGGTGGCGCGGACGCATGGGAACGTCGCCGCTGAGGCCTTAGGTGCAACTCCCTATGGAGCCACGAACCGTGTGATGGGTGTGCCGAAGATGGGTGGCGCGGACGCCTGGGAACGTCGCCGCTGGGGCCTTAAGTGGAGCCCCCATATGGGGCCACGAACCGTGAGAGGGGTGTGCCAAAATGGGTGGCGCGGACGCATGGGAACGTCGCCACTGGGGCCTTAGGTGGAGCTCCCTATGGGGCCACGAACCGTGTGAGGGGTGTGCCAAAGATGGGTGGCGCGGACGCATGGGAACGTCGCCACTGGGGCCTCAGGTGAAGCCCCCCATGGGGCCGCAAAGCGTGTGAGGGGTGTGCCGAAACAGGTACGTGCGGAGGGCAGAAGCAAGGAGGCGGAGGAGGGAGGAGGGCGAAGAGGGAGGAAGGAAGGAAGGAAGGAAGGAAGGATGGCAGGAAGGAAGGAAGGAAGGAAGGAGGAGGGACGCGGGGCGCTGCCTCTTCAAAACGAGGGCCCGACGCCACAGGTTGGCGTAAACATGAATTCGCCGGCCCAACGGGCCAGGGCGTGCTAAGATCTCCGGTAACTGGTTAACAGTATTAACAGTATTTCTAGTTCGCGCGCGCGGGGCGGCCCCTGGGGGTCCCCCGGCGAAAAGTACCCCGACCAACGCCCGGTCGCCGCCCGACCGCCGCCCGACCGCCGCCCGACCGCCGCCCGACCAAGTCTACTCAGAGATGGTTTTCCTTCTGGGTGCGGCCTCTCAGGCTCCCCAGAGCGCGCTCAGAGTGCCCCAAGAGGCCCCCAAGACTGCCCAAGAGGCCCCCGAGACGCCCAAAGAGCGCTCGAAGACGCCGAAGATGACCCCAAGACGGCCCAAAAGGCCCCCAAGACAGCCCAAGAGGCCTCCAAGACGCCCCAAGAGCCTTCCAAGAGGCCTCCGAAGAGAGCCCCAAGAGGCCAAAATCGTTGATTTTTCATTGGTTTTTTCGATGTTTTTGTGTTCTGGCTTTTTCGGCTTCCGGACGCTCCAAGACGGCCCAAGAGGCCCCCAAGACCGCTCCAAGACGGCCCACGAAGCTCCCAAGACGGCGCCGAAACGACCCAAGAGAGCCCTCAAGACGGCCCAAGTGCCGCCCAAGACGGACCAAGAGGCCCCAAGACGGGCCCAAGAGGGACTCAGGAGGGATACCGAGAACTCAAAAATGGAGCCCTCCGTCCCAGAAGGCGCCCAGGAGGTCCCAAAGAGGCCCCAAGAGGCCTCCAAGAGGCCCCAAGATGTCGCCAAGAGGCCCCAGGAGACTCCCAGGAGGCCCAAAAGAAGCCCCAGAAGGCTTCAAACATGTCTCCCAGGCGCCCCCGAACGGCCTCTCAACAGACCCCAAGAGGCCCCCCAAAGAAGCATCTTGACGACGACTCTATTTCGCCCCATCGAGAGACGACCCCCAGGAACTGCTTCACCATCAAAACTCCCCACGCAACGCGTCCGAACGACACCCGCCCCCAAGAGCGCAACATGGGCAACGAACACACAGACAAAAACCAGCGATGCCATATCACGGGCCGGCGGAATGAGCGAAGCGATTCAATAATCCACTGGGTCAAAATTGTGGGTCAGCACGTTGCATTACTGTTTCACAGGGACGGCGGGGGTGCCCGCAGATTGCCCGTTGCGCGCAGGGCCAGCACCCGTGTCCAACAATTAGCCTGGCGAAGGACCCAACCATACGCAGTTGGGAGTACCGTCGTTGTTAGTAGTATCGCCTTCGATTGATCTCCTTATGGGGCCACGAAGCGCATGAAGAGCGCGCCGAAATGGGACAGGGAGGAGCTCCCTATGGGGCCACGAAACGTGTGAGGGGTGTGTCAAAATAGGACGGCTCCGACATGCGGACTGCGCCACTGGAACCTTAGGTGGAGCCCCTTCTGGGGCCACGAAAAGTGTGAGGGCGGGGGGGCAAAATCGAGTCGGCGCCGACATGCGGACTGCGCCACTGGGATCTTGGGTGGAGCTCCCTATGGCGCCACGAAACGTGTGAGTGGGGTGCCAAAATGGGGCAGCGCCGCCATGCGGACTGCGCCACTGGGGCGTTAGGTGGAGCTCCCTATGGGGCCACGAAACGTGTGACGAGTGTGACAAAATGGGGCGGCGCCGCCATGCGGACTGCGCCACTGGGACGTTAGGTGGAGCTCCGTATCCATGCGGACTGCGCCGCTGGGATCTTAGGTGGAGCTCCTCTGGGGCCACGAAACGTGTGAGGGGTGTTCCAAAATGAGGGGGAGACGAAAGGAGGAGAAGGGGGAGGAGGAGAGGAGAGGAGAGGAGAGGAGAGGAGAGGAGAGGAGAGGAGAGGAGAGGAGAGGAGAAGAGAGAGAGAGGAGAGGAGAGGAGAGGAAGAGGAGGAGAGAGAGAGAGAGAGGAGAGGAGGAGGAGGGAGGAGAGGAGAGGAGAGGAGAGGAGAGGAGAGGAGAGGCGAGGAGAGGAGACGAACGCGGGGACCATCTCTTCAAAACGCGGACCCAAAAACACAGGATGGTCGGGAACGTTACCAAATCCAATTCGAGGCAAAATCTGGATCATGCGCTGGCACCCCGCGGTCACTGTGCAATGGTTTGGGACAGCAGGGGTGCTGGCATATTGCAAGCGATGTGCAAGCCCACCAGACGCTATGATGGCCATCCCGCCGCGATTGCGCACTAGTTTTTGGACAAAGGTGGTGGGGGCCGACACGTTTCCCGATGTGTACTGCCACGTGTGTAAGCGCACCTGGCACAGTCTGCGCGTGCCCCGAACGTGGCGCACCTGGCGCGGCTGGAGCATGATGCACACATGGCGCGCGTGGATCACGTGGCGCATCTGGAGCACCAGTCGCGCCCGGCACGCTTCGGCCACAGGGGTGCCTGGCGCACCTGGCGCGCGTGGCGCGCCTGGCACGCCTGGCGCACCTCGCCCCAGCGTTGCACACATGGGTCTGTGTTGGTTCCCATTAGCTGCCCATCCAAAGACTACCGCTGAACACGCTGCGGCTCGGGTGCTACTTATGTGGTGGGAAGGCGGGCTGGAGTGAGCGAGACGGCGTGCGGGCGGGGAGGGTGTCTTGACCCCATCCACCTACCCCCTACCCCTGGACCTGGACCTGGACGGGAGGTTGCGCGAATCGTAAGAGCGACCAAGATGACCTCGGCGAGGAAGCCCGAATCAATGAGTTTACTACGGTGGTGACCGCATGTTGGCCCCCTGGGGTGAGGCTAATTTACTACGGCCGCTCCATTTGATCGGTTCTCCTCCGATATCGTCTCAAGATGGCCCCGAGGCTCCCAAGGGTGGTCCAAGACGGCCCCACGAGGTGCCCAGGATGCACCAAGTGGCGCCCAAGAGGTTCCCAAGATGCCCCCAAGAGGCTCCCAAGAGACCTCCAAGAGGCCCCAAGAGCCCCCATAGTGGCACCCAAAACGTCCCAAGAGGCCTCGGCGAGAAGGCCAAAAACAGCAATGTGAGTGAGGCGTTGGCCACATGTTGGCCTCCTGGGGGGGTGGGGGGGGGAATTGAGGAGCTCCCCTCCTCTGATCGATCTCCTCAAAGATGGCCCCAAGATGGCCCACAGGGCTCCCAAGGGTGGTCCAAGACGGCCCCAAGAGATGCCCTGGGCCCCAAGAGGCTTCCAAGATGCCCGCGAGGCTCCCCAGAGACCCCCAAGAGGCCCCAAGAGCCCCCCTAAAGGCACCCAAGACGCCCCAAGTGGCCTCCGCGAGAGTGCCACAATCAGTAAGTGCACCAAGGGTTTGGCAACATTTTGGCCTCCTGGGGGACGGGGTGCTACTCCCCACCAGCCATCTGGGCGTGAGTGGCTCAGAGCGCTTCCTCCTCCCCCCTCCTTCCTCTGCTGGGAAGGGTGTCCCCCTCCCCCTGGGGTCGCGAGGTGTGAGGGCGCCTGGAGCGACCTCGGCGAGAGAGCCCCAGGTCAGTCTTTGCACTGCGGTTTTGGCCGCATGCTGGCCCCCCTGGGGAGAGGGGGCCTAACCGAGGAGCTGCCCTCCTTGGCTCGACCTCCTGAGGTGGCCCCAGTGTGGCTCCCGAGGCCCAAAGAGGAGCCCAAGAGGCCCCCAGGACGCTCCCAGAGGGCTCCCAAGGGACCCCCCTCGGAGGCCGCCCAGTGGCCACCCGGAAGCACCCACGACGCCCCTATGATGCCCCCTGGGACTGCCAAGGGACCCTGAGGCGCCCCAAGAGCATACGAACAAGCTCTTGAAAAATATCCGAAGAGACTTCGAGAGGTACCCAAGATACCTCTGGTCTTTCTGCTCGCCCTCCTCCTCCTCCTCCTCCTCCTCCTCCTCCGCCTCTTGCTCATCCGCCTATTCCTCCTCCTTCCTCCTCCTTCCTCCTCCTTCCTCCTCCTCCGCCTACTCCTCCTCCTCCTCCTCCTCCTCCTCCTCCTCCTCCTCCTCCCTCCTCCCTCCTCCTCCTCCTCCGCCTCCTCCTCCTCCTCCTCCTCCTCCTCCCCTCCTCCTCCTCCTCCTCCTCCTCTCCTTCCTCCTCCTCCTCCTCCTCACCCGACCTCCTCCTCCTCCTCCTCCTCCTCCTCCTCCTCCTCCTGCTGCTCCTCCTCCGATTCCTCCTTCCTCATCCCCCTCTTGGTTCCACTGCATTCGCCTCCATATCCCTGATCAGAGCAGCTCGTCTGGCCATCGTCTCCGGAGGGGCCGGTGGGGCTGCGCGAAGCGTCCGGCACATCCGTCCACACGTTCTGGAGGCTCGTCTCCCCGAGACCCATCCCGTAGTTTCCCCATGTTCCCGGACATCAGCTTCTGCTGGCGCGCGCTTCTGCTTCACCCACCGAGAGCCTTCGGGAGGCACGCCGCCCGCGCGCGAGAGCCCTCCCGAACCCGGAGCCCAGAACCTCGAACCCGCCCGCCCCTTGCGGAGGCCCGAGAGGGCGAGCACGACGTTAAAGAAACAAGGTCGGCATCGGCACATGGGACACGCCTCGGGAGGAGGAGGTGGAGGAGGAGGAGGCGGAGGAGGCGGAGGAGACTACCTCGAGGGGGAAACCCTCGCTCGCCACATCGGGCGCGTGAGGAGGCGGAGGAGGAAGGGCAGGAGGGGGAGGAGGAGGAGGAGGAGGAGGAGGAGGAGGAGGAGGAGGAGGAGGAGGAGGAGGCGGAGGAGGAGGAGGAGGAGGCGGAGGAGGCGGGCGAACACGGCTTCTGCTCGGACGCCTCGGGAGACACACCGCCCGCGCGCGAGTCCTGCGGCGCGGCCGCGTGCACCGCCGGCGGCGTCGGCGCCTCCTCCGGCGCAGCGGCCGCCTTGAACCGGAACTGGCCGTTGGCCTTTGGGTGACAACTCATGGGAGCCTCCCATACCATTCTGCTGGCTCTTGCGGATCGACGCGAATCGAAGCTGATCGGAGCGAATCGACGCCAAATCGACGCTGATCAGCGCTAATCGTCGCCAAAACATCGCTAGATCCTCGATTACCAGACGCTAATCGTCGCTAGTGCACTTCGAAGACGGACTCCCTTCATTTGCTCCGAACGTTGGCCTTCTCTAGCACCGAGGTGCCCATCGCCTCAGTCGGCGCCGCAGCGGCCTTGAGACGACGACGACAACGATGACCACTTGAATGGGACGCAGAAGGACATACCAGTACGATGTGCCTCTGTTGGAGGCGTGCGTCCAAACCGAGCAAAGAATACACTCATAGTGTAGCATATCGTTTCCAGAGCGGTGCGGCCAGAGAGCACCCGCCGCCAAGCATGTACTACAAGATTTGTCAGCGCACGTCGCCCATATGGGGCGACGCAAATTAGTGTGTTTGGGCGACGCCGAGCTCACCCGGCGCCCCGGCGGCCTTGAATCGGAACTGGCCGTCCACCTGCTCCAAAACCTGGAGGCCCAAAGGCTCCTCCGGCGGCAGGACCTTGTCCATCGCCGTCGTCGCCGCGCCCCTGAAGCGGAATCGGCCCTCCACGTTCTCCAGAACCGAATCCTCGCCCTTCTCCAGGGCCGGGTCGACGACCGGCGGTGGCTTGCCGAAGCGAAAACGCCCTTTGATCCGCCAGCCCCACTACGAGGCCCTCCACCTGAAAGCCGCCACCTGCCGTTTACCTGAATAACAAGCTCTGGGTAAAGCCTCTGCCCGTCAATGCACAATAGGAGCTCGACCACTGCAGACCTTACAAGAAACATAACCTTGAACCCCTGGGAGGTCCGTTGATTGTTGTATGGGGGAAGTCGCGCTTTCCATAGCAAAACCATCGAAACCCGAAAACCCCAAGGCACCCTGGAAGCAAGCAGGGTGTTTCTTGGCATGGGTTTCCATTGTAATAGACGCCCTCCTGTCCGAGCAATTGCCCCAGCAACGAATGACGGCTGAGGTGTGGGGGCCGAACGGCGCCACCGCCGATGATGCTGACGATGGTGATTGGAGCCCTTGGTGCTGCCTGGCATCTTTGCTGCCCCTGCTGTTGCTGTCGCTGCTGTCGCTACTGCTGCTGCTGCTGCTGCTGCTGCTGCTGCTGCTGCTGCTGCTGCTGGGAAGGGGGCGTTGATGAGGATGACGGGCGTGACGAGCGGGTGGTATCTTGCAGGTACGTCGGAGAACACTTCTGCCGTCCGAACGGAGTGGCGCGAGAGCCGTCCGCCACGGCACAGGCTGAGCAGCACCGTGGTCACGAAAGCATGGGCGCAACAGGCTGAGCAACACCGCGGTCGCGAGAGCATGGCGCACAGAAGGAACGTCGCGCGGTGGAGAGGAAGAGGAGGACAGAGAGCAGGAGGACAAGAAGAGCAGGTTCACGGTGGTGGCATTGCAGATCACCGCATGATGATGATGCCGCTGACGCTGGTGATGCTGATGCGCGTTGGAACCTCGCTCCCGAAGCCACCATTTCTCCAGAATGGACCCTCGTTCGTAAGGAAGCAAGCCATCGTCAAACGCATTGACTCGCCACTCCGGAAGCTACGCCGGAGGCGTCGATGATGTCTTGCCAGAGAGTAGTCGCCGCCACAGCGCTCGTCCTTTGCCTGGGACTGCGGGGCTGCCCCACCACGCACCCTCCAAATGCACCCAAGAGAAGGGAAGAGCATCCTCCTCCTCCTCCTCCTCCTCCTCCTCCTCCTCCTCCTCACCTTCCTCCACCTCCTTCCTCCTCATCCTCCTCCTCATCCTCATCCTCCCCCTCCTCCTCCTCCTCCTCCTCCTCCTTCTCCTCCTCCTCCTCCTCCTCCTCCTCCTCATCATCC